GCACTAAAACAACCAGGCACAGGGACAGTTTCTTCCCCCAGGCCGTCACTCTGATGAACACTTAACCCACGACAGTATGACTGGACAATAACCCTCAGTGCAATAACTGTAAATATACCTCATACAGATTATACAGGTCTCTATTTTTAAGTACTCTCTCATTTCACAATGAGCATTCCTTTGTCTGTCTGTATTGTTTACTGTGTTTATGCTGCTTATGCATTGTTTGGACTGTTTGTTGCTTGTTAATACTACTCATTTTGGTATTTTGTTATATTACACAGCCTTACGCTGGTTTACTGTTTACTTGCCCCTTGCATGGGAATATGTACATGCACATTGAGAGCCGATGTACCAGAGTTAAATTCCTCGTGTGTCCGACACACCTGGCCAGTAAAGCAGATTCTGAATCAGATCCTGATAAGATAACAGGCTTTTATATGATAAATCAAAAGGATTTTCAGTAAACTCTCATACATTCAGATAACTGTTCATTAGGTACGCCTGGCTAAACTAATGCAGCACAACAGTCCTACAACAAAACCTGCTATCATAAGAGCTCCACTTATTGTGTTGAAACTGTTGCAGCGAAGTGCCCGTTCAGTTTTGTGCTGCTGTTAAATTGTATTGTCTTATGTGAGTCGGTGTTTCTAATGTCTACCCTTTGTGATATGAATGAGACAGCATCCCCTTCTCTGGTATTTACAACAGGTAACTACAGTAAAACAGGTAAAGAAACCTGAATACGCCCATCAACTCAGACTTATCTTTGCAACAATACAATGCTGCAGTTCAAAACTGGCTGACATTTTTTCCACCAGCGTGCCACCACTTGACAGGCTTTGTTCAAACATGGCCAAAATAATCTTTACTAAAGTAACAGGGGTCTGAATTAACTGCTCAGGGCATGTTTCATGTGAACACACCTTTAGCAATGTGGACTGTGATGTTGTTATATCAAAATCTGAAAAAATGAAGTCATCTATTAAACTGTCTGTGGTGCATTTACAGGCATCATGTGTCAACTCTTTGGTTGGATTTGAAATTTGAGGATCCAGGTCTGTAACAGTGCACGCGCGCGCGCGCGCACACACACACACACACACACACACACACACACACACACAGCCAGTGTGAAGGCTGCCAAAAATAAAAGTGGGAGGCAGGAATCCAGATGATCGTATCTCTATTATGACTTGATAAATGGCCCCGCAAATCTTTTCAGACAGAAAATAGGACAGCACAGGATTCACAATGAGTCCCTTCAGTGTGACTCAGAAACAGAGAGTGAAGAGGGTGTGAAAATACCTGGGTGCAACCGATCACAATCAGTTCTATCATCTTTGGGCTGGAATATAAAAAAAAAACTCCAATGAAATGAGAGAAAGACTCATCAAAATATATTTCTCACTCTTCTTCTATTGCTTGAAACTTCATAGGAGGACTTCTTGCCAGCAAAGTTGGCAAAAACAAATTTTAAGTATTGGCTTAGGCTGTGCCAAGCAAACAATACAGGTGTTTTAATAGTTTTCATTTTGGAAAATTCTTCCAAAGCTACAGCCAGCGGTTGGTTAACTTAGATGTTAAAAATAGCCTAGCTCTGTCCATAGCTAACAAAAATCACCTGTTAGCACATCTTATGCTCATTAATAAACTTGTCATATCCTGCCTGTTTTAGGGGGTTTTCTTCTGGACTAGCTGGGAGCATTTTCCCAGATAACCCTGGAGATCCTGGGAAGTTGCTGGCCCTGGCCAGATCATGTATAAAACAAACTAGATTTAACAGTTCTAATTTTAAAAGGACAAAAATGAAAAGGAAGCTTTCAAGAAAATTATTTCAATTGGTTTGTTATTATCAGAGTTGTTAGGCAGACAGGACACCCTGAGTACAAAATACTGGAAATCACTTTTCACCAGTAAGTCCTATTAATTCTGACCCTAGTGACACACGGTGGCTTCCAGCTCTGTAAAGATATAACCCTCTGTACTTACGCTTCCCAGAAATCTTTTTTTTATTTTTTTTTATCTGTAAATATTTGTGTCTCTACTGGCCCCATCTGCACCTCTGAGGTCAAATCTGTAGATTTCCAGCAACGCTAAACAAACGTGTATCTCTGTGTGTGTGTGTGTGTGTGTATGTATGTATGTGTGTTGTGTTGTGTGAGGGTGCAACTGCGGAGTCCGACATTCCTGACCCCACTCAGAGCTCTTGGTCACACAACAAGGCTTTCAATGGAAGCCTGTTAAATATTCAGTATGCGTCTCTCAAGCACACATACCATACCATACCATACCATACCATACCATACCCCTCCCCCCCGTGCGGTCCATACATAGACTTACATTCATTTTCAGGAGACTTACTCCAACCCTAACCCTTAACCAGAACTGCTACTTACCTAATCTTAACCCTTACCCTAGTCTAACCTTAACCAGAGCAGATACTTGCTCTATCCATCATTTTTGTAGAATTCAACTAATTAGTCGTGGGGTCCAGCCTCCGGTCCCCACAAAGCAGTGAGTTCCCAGTGTTCTGTCCCCACAAGCATCTATAAACAAGGCAACACACACAGCGTTTCCATAACTTCAAGGGACATCTTTACAATGATTTACATTAATTTCCTGGAGACATACCCCACCGAACCTTACAATTTGTTGTCTTGCTTTTTGTCCCCTTGAATAGTGTTTGTATGTATATGTGTGTGCGTGTCCATCCACACCTCAAACTGTGGCCAGTTCATGCTCATGCCTGGTCCGTGGGTGTTCCTCCACCATCTAAGATCTTCAGTATCACTGGCTGTTTGGATGGTTTGGCCCAGGTCTTGATACAGGTCTCTGAACCTGTTGGACACAGTGACTCTTCAGTCATCACATCTATACCATCCTCCTCTCCATTCAGTGCCATCATCGAGAGCTGTTTAATCATATCATTGTATAATGAGTGCTGTCTTGATGATTTATGCACTCAGTTGTCAGTTTACTGGGTATACAGAGCTAAAGCTAATGCAGTCCGTTTTAGAGAGGCACGGATTTAAGCTGTATAGTAATTTTAACTGTACGACTGTAAAGAGAAGCAATAACAACCAGTGCCCGATGTGACATCCAAAACTACCTGTCCCGAATGCTGAAGGAACTCTCAAAGCCAGGATTGGATTCACAAGCCACCTGAGAGTCTGTAGACTGATCAACCGAACAAAGACCATCATCGTTGACTTTGAGGGCCACTACCACTGACAGGAGTTTCTATTATTCTGTCAACCCCATTTATCATGCAATATATCTTGGTTACTGACAAATGCTTTTTGCTGTGCTAAATTAGAGATCGGCAGGTTTTTACAGCCTAGTTATTTTTGCAGAGATTTGAAATTCTGTTTCCTCCATCTTATACTAAATTCAGGTTAAAGAATTTGTCCTTCCCTCTCAATAGTTTTTGGGCAGCAGGTCAAGCTGTAAAGAGAATACTGCTAACTTGCAAAGCTATTAGGGTTAATTTGTCCAAAGTACACAAAACACATTAGACCAACACAGAGCAACGTTAGTATTTATTTAGAATCATGTTTGTGTCCACCTGATTAATTAAATCCAATATTCAGCTCTGGCTTTGGTTTCTATCATCTCTTGAGCAAAACATGCAACTCTTCAGCTGCAAACTTGCAGTCTGGTGCTTGCTGGTTTGTGAACAGTGGGTTTATCAGTTTGAATGGCTGCCTGCTGCTAGAAATAAATCTCATGAGAAAGCTAGGAGTGAACCAAAACAACCAAGTTGCCCTAAAACCAAAACAATGACCTGAAAGACGCAATTAGCTCTGTGGAGCGAAAGGTCAGGTGAAAATTCTCTGTGGGTTTGTCACTGTGAGAGGTTCATTTTCACATAACACACAGTCATGTGGGTTTTTGTTACCCTAAAAGTACTGATTAGTGCAGCTTTAATGACGGCTAAAAGGCATGATGATACACTTTTCTACTATTGTGGTTTTTATCATATCCTGATTTGAATACGATAGTGCTCATTTACTGAATGTTATATTTACAGTACTGTAGTCAGTTCCTGATTACACTGCATTTTGGAGGCTGGACTTTTAAATTCCTGAAGCCTTCATTTAAAAGGTGGAATTCCAGATAAAGCTATTGTATTTTGCACATTTTCTAATCGGTATTATCAGCTCTGTGCTGGTTTGCTTACATTTACAAAGATGATATGAAGGAAAACCCTGCAGCCGTCCAGGAGCTGCAGTACAGTAAATACCTTAGGGCTGTTTGAACAGTGATAGCAGGTTGTTTCATTTTAAAGGACAGGTTCACATTTTTCTAAGTCTGTCAATAAAAAATACTCCATGTCTACAGTGCATGTACACTTAATCAATTTTAGTTGTTTAATTCTTTCCTTCTGTTATAAACAGATGTGAAGAATTCCCTTCTCAAACAAATTTCATATGATGGAGGACTAAAATGTAGCTGTAGCTAATATAAAGCTTCAGTAGTCAGAATTTCAGTACCAAATTCCCTCCGTTTACTGTTTTTTTTTTTTGTAGTAGAGGGAAAAGAAAAAATAAATCCGGTACTCATATTTTACACCAAATGAAGACAGAATTTTTTCCTAGTTACACTGGAATCCTGTTAAGAAGAAAAATGTTTACAGCCACTCCATGGAGCAACAACAATTACAGCTGCCACAGACTGTTTGAGAATTATATTATGAACCTCTCCTTTAAGGGGTCAAAAACTCAGAGTCAATAGATTTAGAACCACTGCTCACAAATCCCCTCATATATGGTGGTTCACTTCAGGGAATTAGACGCCCTAAATGTAGGTTTGTGTGAGTTCAGTCTGAACATCTGGAGTCTGGGTTTGGACATCAGGTTAGCATGTAGTCTTTCACTATTGAGGGTGTGCCAGGAACATGCGTATGAACCTGATTTTAACAAAGAAATCATCTTTCAAAGTAGTATTTTAAAAAAGCAACAGATCAACAAATATTAAATAACATAAATAAAACCACTGTTAAACTTTTTTTCAAGTACATTCCATTAAAAATGTTCTTAGTAAATTAACAGTGAATTTGTTCATTATTTGGACAAAGATCTTGTGGAACTTCATTTACCATGGCATCATGCTTGTTTAAACAGAATGAGAGGTCAGCAGTTAATGGACAACAGCATGAGTTCTTTATTAACTCCTATGTACATACACAAAATACCTAGACTGCAACACTTCTACATGCCTTGGTTCCGAGGCACAAATGATCAATCACCTAAACACCTTTCTCTTAGGAGGTATGCACATGTGTGTAGATGTACATGTGCATGCATGCGTGTTTGTCCTACCGTCCTTTAGCGGACAGGTCAAGGTCCGTGTGGATGTCCATCAGGACGTCTTTAAAGAAGCGCAACCTCTTGCCCTCAGCTTCCTGGGTGAGATCAAACACTTGCTCCATGTCCTCCATGTAGCGAGGGTTACAGTGATTCAGCTCCTCCAGGGCCTTTTTGTAGCGCTCCTTTGCCTGGCGCACACGCACACGCGCGCACACACACAGACACACATATACAAGTTAAGCAGTGACGTGCAAAGAAAAAAAAGTTAACCATAAAATATAATAAATGTTAATATTTGTCGGCTGGTGTGTGTTGTAGGCCCTTTTGCCGTTCGAATCCGATGTCGAAGGAATTTTTTTCAATAAAGAATAGCAGAATTTCCGTATGTCCCGTTCAAATACATGGAGGAGATGCGCGATGAGGCAGCACTTTGCTGTGCCTCTCGGTGGATCGTGTAATCCTCACAAACTGTATGCGATGCAAAGAGTGTGTCGCTGTCCCTCTATATATCGTGAGGCAAACAGTACGCCTGCCTCAAGGCAGAGGGCGCTAGTGAGCCCACAGATTCTTGCGCTACCTACAATCTTCTTCGTGCTTGTTTATATTTCCTTTACAATCCGCCTTATCAAAATGGAAGATTACATTTCCAAGCTGAGAAAATTCGCAAATCTGGACTTTCAATCAAAACATTTTTGACAGTCTGGACATTTTTGTCCAGAAGGATCTTCTTTATTGAAAACATTTGTTTTAATATTGGATTCGAACGGTAAAAGGGTTTGTAATACATACCAGCTGACAAATGGATTTCGTGTACAAGTAAAGGTAAGACCATAAACTTTTATTATTACTAGTTAGAAATAAGCTCAACTGGAATAAATTTTAACCTCAAATTAAATATGGGTCACGTTTGTGTGAAGAATGTTGATATGAAATATAAAATATAATGCATTGTCTGTTAACAGACAATTTGTTAACGGTTCATTTGTATTTGTAAATCTGACTAAAAGAGTCAGTGCCTCACCAGCTGTCAACCTCACCGCACGCCACTGAAGTTAAGTGTGCCTCCTCGACAGCATTTAGGAGGGGAGTCTACATTTTCAAGCGTTAAACAGAAGGACTGATTGCTGCTCTCTTTCTAAAAAGTGTACACTAATGGTCCCCAGTTGTCCACTCTGTTCTGAGAAACCGAGACTGGACCCAGGCCCAAGCCAGACCAGGTCCACTGCAGGAGAAAATAGTGTTTTGAGGCAAGAGTGAGTGTTGGTGTGAGGAAGGAACTGAAGCAGAGTTTATTTTAGAAAAATCAGCACCTTACAAGATTTATGCTAATACTACATGTTTTGAAATTTTGTATTACAAATATTGAATAGATTAGAGCATATTTATCTATTTTGTCTATCGCCCAGTTGGCTACAACATGTACTGTTGGAGCAGCAAGAAGAAATTTGATTTTCAGGTATTTATATATTTGTCTTCTAAAAGAATGATTTTAGTTTCTATTACTTTATATTTATTCTTAGGACAGTTTCTATTATTATATGGCTGCTCTTTTCCCGGGCAGCCCGGGGGCACAGTGGTTAACC